AGGAGGAGGACGACGACGACGACGAGGAGGAAGGGGAGGAGGGAGGGGGATGAGGAAGGAGGGGAGGGGAGAGGTGGAGGAGGGGAGAGGAGGAGGAGGAGGAGGAGGAGGAGGAGGAGGAGGAGGAGGAGGAGGAGGAGGAGGAGGAGGACGGGGACGAGGACGAGTAGGGAGGAGGAGGAGTGAGGAGGGAGGAGGAGAAGGGGGAGGAGGAGGAGGATCAAGGAAGAGGAAGGAGGAGGAGAGGAGGAGGAGGAGGAGAGGAGGAGGAGGAGGAGAGGAGGAGGAGGAGGAGGAGGAGGAGGAGGAGAAGGAGGAGGAGGAGGAGGAGGAGGTGGGCAGAAGCTTCCGCCTCACTGTCACTTAGTTAAACCTCTGTTTAACCCTGTGCTTCGCAGTTCCATTGGAGGCAGACGGTCCGCAGCTTGAAAGAGCCTGAAGGAGGAGGGGGAGGGGGAGGGGAGGGGGAGGAGACAGCCCCTTCTTCCTCCCCTCGCTCGCCTCCTTTGCCTGACTTTCGCCCGCCTTGGGCTGCCACTCCTGGGATGTTAACTTTACATACCCGTGGAGCAAACCCTGCCAGATCCAGAACTCGCTGGCTTGATTCGGCTCACTTCACCGCCGGATCCGCCCTAATCTGGCCCGATGGCCCTGTACGTAGTCTCACCTCCTAGCCCTGAGTCGTCCTCACGCAGCCTTCCCAGGAGTTGCATCCAACCACTCCGCCCCTACCTCGCCCCCGACCGCCCGACCGCCCGAGGTGGAGGAGGAGCGCTCCGCGCGCGTCGGCGACCTGGCGACGCACGCTTCCGCGACAGAGGTGCGCTTAGCGGCCGTGCAGGACAAGGGCTCGCCGTCGCCGCCGCTGGTTGTGGTGGTGGTGGTGGTGGTGGTGGTGGTGGTCGTCGTCGTCGTCGATGTCATTGATGTCGTCATCGTCGCCGTCGTCGTCATCAATGTCGCTCGAAGAACCTCAAAAGGCATCCCCACGAACTTTCGGGGCTCCACGCGGATTTCTCGGATCTGCGCTGGGACCCCTTTGGCGGCGCGCTCCGCTCCGCGCGCCAGGGAGGGGATCCAGCTCAGATCCAAGACTTTCCGCGCGAAGACTATGTTTAGTATGCTTACTGTATTGATGTCGCCTTCGTCGTCGTCGTCTCTGCACCCCTGCCTCGTTCCCTCGCCGGCCCCTCCTCCCACCCTCCCCTTCCCAGCCCCCCCCCCGCCACGCTCTCGCACGTCCCTCCTTGCTGCCTGCCCTGGTCCGCCTCCGCGCCGCATCTTTTCTTTCCTCCCTCTCTGTCTTCCTCTTGTCCTCCTCCCCCTCGCTCCCTACACGTTCCTCTTCATGTGTCCGTTCATCCGCCTCATCGGCCTCCCTCAAGGGTAAGCACCAGAAAAGTAGGGCGTCCTTGTCCTGCTAAGAGTCTGAGGTGCAGGCCTGGAGGGTTCCGCAGTGACTAGATGTATCATGTATCATGAAGACCGCTGGCGGGGGATTTGCTGGGGCCTCTATGCCTTGTGTCCTTGCATCTAGCCTCCTCCTCCTCTCCTTCCTCGTCTCTCTCTCTCTCGCTCTGTCTCTCTCTCTCTCTCTCTCTCTCTCTATATATATATGTATATATATATATAGATATAAAAGCATCGGAGGTTGGGGGGTGAGATCGCAGTGGAACGGAGACCCCCAACCGGGAAATATTTTCGTTGCGTTCGTGTCGTGCGTGCGGGCGAGGCGAAGCTGCGTGGGCGCGCGAGAGGAATGAACCCGTCGCTGCTAGGGCGAAGTCAAGACAAATGTTGCTCCTCCGTCCGTCTGGCGGTGGCCCTAGCGGTGTCCCGCGGTGTCCCATGGTGTCCCGTGGTGTCCCGTGGTGTCCGTCGCTGCTAGGGCGAAGTCAAGACAAATGTTGCTCCTCCGTCAGTCCGGCGGTGGCCCCAGCGGTGTCCCGCGGTGTTCCGTGGTGTCCCATGCTGTCCCGTGGTATCCGCCGTTGCTAGGGCGAAGTCAAGACAAATGATTCTCCCCCTCCCGCCCGTCCGGCGGTGGCCCGCGGTGTCCCGCTGTGTCCCGTGGTGTCCCGTGGTGTCCGCCGCTGCTAGGGCGAAGTCAAGATAAATGATTCTCCCCCTCCCGCCCGTCCGGCGGTGGCTCGCGGTGTCCCGCGGTGTCCCGTGGTGTCCCGTGGTGTCCGCCGTTGCTAGGGCGAAGTCAAGACAAATTATTCTCCCCCGCCCGCCCGTCCGTCCGTCCGTCCGGCGGTGGCTCGCGGTGTCCCGCGGTGTCCCGTGGTGTCCCGTGGTGTCCGTGGTGTCCCGTGGTGTCCCGTTGAGTGAGATCGATAGTGAGACCGATAGTGGGATCGATACTGAGATCGATACTGAGATCGATGTGGTGCCCCGAGGTGTCCTGTGGTGTCCCAGAAAGTGAGATCGACAGTGAGATCGGCAGGTGTCCCGTGGTGTTCCTGAGTGAGATCGATAGTGAGATCGATACTGAGATCGATATGGTGCCCCGAGGTGTCCCGTGGTGTCCCAAAAAGTGAGATCGATAGTGAAATTGACAGGTGTCCCGTGGTGTCCAGTTGAGTGAGATCGATAGTGAGACCGATACTGATATCGATACTGAGTCGATGTGGTGTCCCGATGTGTCCCGTGGTGTCCTGTGGTGTCCCGTTGAGTGAGATCGATAGTGAGACCGATAGTGAGATCGAGAGGTGTCCCGCGGTGTCCCGTGGTGTCTCGTTGAGTGGGATCGATCGTGAGATCGATTGAGTCAGATGTTGGTACCCCCCTACCCCCCCCCACAACCTCCTTATCACCCGCAGGGTGGTCGTATAGTATATATATATACATGTCTCTCCATATGGCACATTCCGAACTCCTGCCTCAGCAAGGGCGAGCTCCCAACGATTCAACGCCTTCTGTCCGCGATGTCCATTTGGATGCACGTTTGGGGGACCCCTTTCTTCCGCAGCTTCGGCGCCTGGCACAAGCATTGGAAGCACGCCACCAGCTTCGGGGACGTCATCACGTCTCTGGCTGTCCGGGTCGAGCATGCTTTGACCCGCAGACTTGTTTCGATTGCCTCATCACCGACGTCTGAATCGAGCTCGCTCTCCACGCGGGATGTTCAGTGGACATCGTCGCGGTGCAGCGGGCGTTTTGCACCAACCACGTCCGGCATTGCTGCATGGTCGGGTCGTACTCCCCGCCCCTGGCCCGCATCAGCGGCCACCCCCAGGGCAGTTCATGGTCATGTCAATGTGCCGACGTGCGTCTGGACCCACAGGTGGCACCGTGTCGTGCCGAGGTCGCCAGGCAGTGCCCTCGTCGACGACAGCAGCTCCACGGCCCCCGCTGCCGCCGAGCCTGCCCTCGCGCTGCAGGAAGCAGCCCGCTCCGGCGGCCTGCCTGGGCCGAGGGATCCGCCTTGGCAGGGCCGTCGGGTGGGCCTCCTGGGCCCTGCCCTGCTCGACCGAGCCTCGGCCGTTCTCCTCCGCGGAGCCCCTCGCCGCGCCCGCTCCAGGGCGAGGCTGTGCGGGCCGTGCGTCCACGCCGCTCCCGCCCCCGGGCTCCACGAGCGGAGCGACCTGGTCGACGCCGCTGCTGCCCGAGCCCTCGAGGCACAGGTCCCGCTTCTGCGCGTGGCCCAGCTCGCGGAGGGCATGGGAGGCGAGGCCAAGGCTGCTTGGCCCTCAGTCGCCAGCGAAAGGCGAAGGGCCACCTTCGTCGTCGCCGCCCTCCGCCCACGTGGGTTTTCGTCGATATGATGCCTGCCGCGTGCGTCACAGTGCGCGCGCTCGACCTGCGCGCCATCTCGCAGCGTGAGAACTTCCGCGCGGTCTGCCGCCAGGTTCGCCGAGAACCTTGACGACTGGGGGACATGGCCCATCGCCTGTACCTCGCCGCCCAAACCCATCACGGAGGTAGGCCCATACGGCGCCTTTGACATAATGCTGCCCAGCTCGGCTGGACCTGCCCCTGATTCCGCGGTATGCGGGGCGATTGGGGCGCCCGCGCTTTCTGGGCTGATGACCCGGCGGGCACTGTCACTCACGTGTTGAACATGTCCCAGGAACGCGATTTTGTGCGACGTGAGGCCTCTGCTTCAACTGCTTGCGCGGAGGCGACCACGCGCAGCAGCGCGCTGTTTGGGTCGGCTTCTGGGCCGACGATTCACCATTGCCGCATGGCGCTGCCGATTTTGGACCCCAACGTCGGCCCCTCACGTTCATGCTCGCCGATACAGTTTGGGGAGCGCTGCGCTGTCTTCGAAGAGGGCACCGCGCCTCATCGGCGTCCAGGCCGAGACGACTAGGGCCCCCGCCCCAGGCCCAACCCAAGGTGACGACCTGGACGCGTGCCGCGAGTGCAGCGACCTGGTCACCGGCGCGATGTGGGTCACGCGGCTACCGACGGGGCGTGCTCCCACCAGGCCCACTTCCTCTTCGCCCGCACACCAACTATTCGGCCCGCGCGTGCGGCCTCCCCCTTGACAGCACAGCGTGCCGAGGCGCAGGCGCTGCCCCGCCTGGTGGCCATGGCTCCTCGTGGATAACCAGCCTGTCGTGGGCGGCTTCCAAGCCCCGCTCGACTGAGCACCAGCCCATCGCCAGGGCAACCAATCTGACTTGGTGGGTTCGGGTTCACCAGGTCCTCCAAGCCAAACCAGGCATGTTTTGCGTGGCAGAGGTTGCCAGCCACCTCTGTGAGGAGGGAGCAGCTTCGGGCCGCATCGTCGCCCCCGACCAACCCGCGCGCCGACGCCCTCGCCACCGACGCAGCTCCCCGTCACAACATGCCGCATGATGTCGTGGAAGTGACGAAGACTCGACATGAATTCGCCAGCGTCTCGCACAGTGTGGCCGCAGCCATTCGCGACCAGCGGCGCAGCGCCCTTCCCCACTCACGCTTAAAGGCGGGCTACGCGGAGCACGAGCTCAAACGAAAAGGCCCCCACCCCGACCGCGGCGGCGCACCGCCCCCAGCCGGCGCGCCTCCGCCGCGGCCGCCCGACGATCTGGGCGACGACTCCGGGCGACGACTGGGCCAACCAACGGCCCGAAATGGACGACGATGGCCCAGCCAGCCGAGGCCGAAGCATGGGCGCGACGACGACGACGACGATGATGACGCCGACGCTGGCGCCGCGGCTCCCCGCGCGCGCGAGGCGGCCGCGCGGGAAGCCATCCTGGCGCGGGGAAGGGCCCCAGGCTGCTCTCGCGGAGTCCACCAGGAGCCCCTGTTTCCGAGGACGACCCTCCCTCGACCTGGGCGACGAGCCCCCGACGTGTCCAGCGAGGCCGTTCCGCAGCAGCCCCATCGCCCCTACCGTTGCCACGCCTATCCAGGCCACGATAGTTCTTGAAGAGCTCGAGCGAACATCTCCTTGATTCCGCGACTGGTCAGCCTCACGCCGCGGGCGGGACGCTTGACCGAGGTTTTGCACCCTGAGACCCCCCGCGTGGCCCAGCCGCGCCCGCTTCCACCAGGCCCTCCCCCTCCTGGCCACTCTGGCCCTCCTTCGGGGGCTTTGGGCGGTTTTCTTGGGGGGGGGGTCCTGGAGCCTCGTGGGCTGTTTTGGGGAGGCGATTGGCCCGTCGGACGCATTAGGAATTCGGCTTGGGAGCCTCTCCGGAGAGTTTTGGTGCCTTCGTGGAGCTCTTTAGGGCCGTCTTAGGACCCTCTTGGGAACCTCTTGGGCGATCTTGGTGTCCTCTTGGGTCGGCGCGGGGCTCTCTTGGGGCTACATGGGCTATCTTGGAGCATGCTTGGGATCCTCGTGGGCCATCTTGGGCGGTCGGAACCCCAACAGACGAGTAAGAATCCAAACACCTATGG